CAGTATCTGTGGCCAGATTCTTCGTATTCGCTGCAGGAGATCCTTCCTTCCCACAGCAATCAGCATCTAACAACTCTTGAATAAAACCAGGATGATGAGCTACGACAACACTTAATTTCCCTCTGGGATTAATAAAGTATTTTTGAATTGAATTGAAACGAGTTTTAAGAAAAATTTCGAACTTCAATTTTTTTTGTAACGTTGCTACTATTAAAAAAAAATACCTAAGAACATAAACAAGTTGTAAAGTCCCCAATATGTAAATGCATACTTCACAATTTATTTCATTTGAAGCCATCTGTAAAGTAATAAAACTTTTGTTCTTGTTTTTATTTTCTGTACTTTTACTCGAGACCCTTTAGAAAGGATGGTCCCCATAAGTACTGATTATAACTGTAGTCCCTGCTGAACAAGGAAACCAGTGTGTGTGTGTGTGTGTGCGTGTGTGTGTGTGTGCGTGCGTGCGTGCGTGTGTGTGTGTGTGTGTTATGGTGTGTGGGTGGGTGTTTGTGTGTGTGTGGGTGAGTGAATGAGGGAAAGTGGTGCAGACAGAAAGAGGTTATTTGATGGTTACATCTCCATAGCTTACAGTTCACTGAATGATGTGTCTACAAAAGAAGTTACATCCTGGACTTTCTACTTATAAATCATGACATGAAATGTAAGTACTCATATTTCTTTCAAAACCAGCAGAAAGCAAAAAGGGGAAATTGTTTTTTGTATGCATGCATGTATACTGACGTCTCATTAAATGTTTTTAACAAGTACAATTTCAACCAAATATTCAAGATTATGGTAGTTTTTAATAAATTAGCAGAGTCAAAGATATTTGTATTATTTATTTTGTATTTTCCATTTTAAAATTTTGCACAAATACTTATTTTTAGTTTATTTGAATGCCATGTATGCTTTATACATGACAATTTATTTAAAGACCCCTTTAAACTCAAGTGAAATCTATGTGAATAAAGAAGTTTAAAAGAAAACAGCACAATATGTCACATCAGGTAAATATTGCTTGAGGACATGAATCATTAATGACAGTAAAATCTGAATGTTGCTTTCAAATAGCGGTCAGGATGTCAGCATGCTACTTTTCATCCATTTTATAAATGTTGCCAAAATGCAGATGAATAATTAATTAACTTCAGTGCCATTTCAAAGATGCCCATTCATCACTAACAGCTAAGAAACCTCAACTATTGATCTGACACAGACTCTGCAGTGTGAAGAAAAACATCTTTTAAACATGCATTTTCATTCAAACAGCCACAAGAACATATATACTGCGCCTATGTGATTTATTTGATGCAGATTTCTCATTGTTCTTTTTGTATAAATTTGGGCTGGGGCCAGTTATTTGTTTTGTTCTGTTTTTTTCTCCTAAAAAGTCTCACACAGATGACTTTACATAGCAAATGCCACAATGGATGACCAATCACTTTCTGCAAATGCAAATGAAAAACAGGATAAAAAAAATAAAAAAGCCAAGTTCCAATATTCACAAACCACTTCCTCGAAGTCAAACACCGAGGTCGAAGATCAAACAGGTATGTTTGTCCAGGGTCTGTGATTAACTGCTGGTTTTAACAGGAAATTGAATTCACTGAGTTTTTGTCTTTCAGGATCTTTGACTGAAGTCAGTTCTTCAGAACAGATGTCCACAGATAATACTGAACTGTCCTCAGCTGACGTCTCTGTGAATGTCTTCTCAAATAAAACTAAACGTAAGAAGACATTTTTTAACACTAATATAACGGACAAAGTTAGTCAGGTCTTCTGGACGGTTCAAGTTCAAGTTCTAGTTTCTTTATTGTCATTCGTATCACATGTGGTACATGAAGTGGAACGAAATTCAGGGTCCCAGTTACACCCAATAATAGCAAAAATATAAAGTATAAAAAGAAACAGTGGATCTAAGATATATGCTAAAAACTAATAATGTAAAATAATACGGTGTATTAAACAGCAGCCCGAACATGAGTCTGTGGTGAGAAGATGGGTATGAATATAGCAACATGAGATCAGCAACATGTATAATCAGCAGCACAGATAAGTCACATATCACCAATTAAAGTGGCATTACAGTGATTTTTCTGGTTAGAGATTCATGAGTCTAACAGCCTCAGGGTAAAAGCTGTTCCTCAGTCTAGTGGTTCTATACTTAATGCTCCTCAACCTCCTTCCTGAGGGGAGCGAGGCAAAAAGTGTGTGTGCTGGGTGAGCGGGGTCCTTCATGATTCAAGTGGCTTTCTTCCTGCATCTGGAGGTGTAGATATCTGTGATGGTGGGGAGGCTGACTCCAACAGACTTCTGTGCAGCCTTCACCACTTTCTGCAGAGCTCTCCTTTTCCTTTGATGGTGACAAGATAGTTTCTGGAGTCCACCCTCTCCCTTGCCAACTTGTTTTAGGCAGTCATGGTCAAAGTGGTTCAAATACTTGAAACGTTTCAACAAGAAGAATCAGTCCAGAGGACCTGACTTAACTTTGATGGATTGTTCTACCTGGATTATTGAGCATGAATCAGGAGACAAATAGAACTGGCTTTATGACAGTTTAATTGAAAATTTGTTCATTTTAATGTCTGTCATAGAGGATACCCCTGAAAAACACATCATGATTGACTCTAAGAGAGGACCGGACACTGAGGTGCACACCTGTAGCTCATGTCCTGTTAAGGTAGACCAGCCAAAACCTCTTCACACCCTGCTGCCATCCTCGACAGAGACCTGCACACTTCCTGAAGCAAGTCAGTCGTTCTCATCAGCCAGGAGTCAAGACAACCTCAAATCTGCCACAGTATACACCGAGCCAGATGGGAGCGGTAAGAATATATATATTTTTTGTTTGTGCTCATTTTTTTTTTTTTTCTTCTCTTCATCTCACTGCTGGTCATCCTTCTTTCCCACATGAGATTACTGTGCTGCAATCCTACTGGCTTGCCTGTTCTGCCATCCACTGGACTGTCTGCTGGAGACGTTCAGAGGGTGCGCCTGGTCGCTGTGCTCATCCCTGTGCGGCTGCGAGCCCACCACCCTGCAGTCCCTCCTGGACGTCACTCAAGGCTGTGACCTGTGTGGGTGTCTGGGGGTTCGCTGCTTCATGTGCGACTGCGACATCTGCCTTCCTGTCACCGGGTGCCTGGACCTTGCTATGGAGCTCTCTCAAATGCTCTACCACTGATACATCAGGACAGACAACAACCAGAGATAAGCCAATATGAAGCATTTATTTGTTAAAATCTTCTGAAAGACAACGTATGGGGACAAGATTCATGGTTAACAGTCACTCAAATCTTTGTCTTGGTTGAAGTTGCATATGAGCAGAAAACTCAATATAAATGACTATGAAACTGGAAACAACACAACAGATGTGGCACGGAGTGGAGCTGCCTTCAGCTTTTGAAAGAGAACAGCTAAAACATTGTGTAAAACTCAGAATAGATGTTTTTGGCTGCTCTTGGAGGAAAAAACCTACACCAGAATGAAAATATGAACATTTATGTTCTCAAACACACATTCACTGACTGCACACAGGATTGCGTTGAGCGTCTGACAAATAAAATACAATTCTTAATTTTGTGCCTATAAAAAAAAAAAATTGCAGGTTTTACTCAACAGTCACACATTATTCTTATTAGTTAGGACATGAGACTAGTGGTTTCTGAACAGTCAAAGCCCTCTGAAATTCACACTACAATGAGCAACGATGCACTTTTAGAAATTGCATTTGATCATCCAAAATAATGCAAACGACTTGGTAGAGCATGCCAGCTGTTAAAAAAAAATCACTCAGTGATCACAAAGGTTAAAGAGACAAAAATCACAGACAACACAAGATATTAGTCAGGAAAAAACACTTATCAAACTATCGAGTTTATAAAAACAAAGATGAACTACAGTACTGTTGTGGAAAGGATAAACTTGTTCTCTATTTCTTACACGCTCCTGCTTTTCTATTTACCGAGTGTTCAAAAATAAAATGCTGATCTGTGATCTGTAGATACTCCAGAAGAAATCCTGCTTTGGCTAACTAGCTACAGCAGAAAGTGATTTTCCCACTGCCTGTAAGGTTTAATACAAGCACATGCAGCCTGGGTAACATCTGTCCACGGTGTTGTAATTACCGTATTTTCCGGCGTGTAAGTCGCATCAGTCCAAAAAAAGCAACACAAAGAGGCAAAAAAACATTGTGTCGCTTCAGCGTATAAGTCGCATTTATTATGCGTCACCGCTGACAAGCTCTCCAGCATTCCTCCACCTGTACCAGCTGGGTGAAGCAAGCGCATACGGGAGGACTCACTGTTGCAGTTCTTCAAAATTTAACAAGATTAACACTTAAAAACAATTATTTGTTTGCTCGACATTAAAGCAACGGTGTGTCTCAGTTTAATTTTTACTTAATAAATGCACTTTAATGGTCAAAACAGCTTCATTTCGCCTGGGTGGCACGGCGCCATCCATCTGTCGTGGCTGGAGCCCCTAGCTCTCCAGCATTCTTCTGCCTGCACCAGCGGAGTGAAGAGAGCACACAAGAGAGGACTCGCTGTTGCAGTTAGAAATTTAAAGCATCAGTCAAAATTTGCATTATGAATACGGAAAAAAAAAAGGATATACGTTGCTTCGGCGTATAAGTCACAGGACTGACAAATCTATGCAAAAGACTGCGACTTATACGCCGGGAAATACGGTGTGCTAAAAACCAACAAAAAGCGTTCATAAAATGCATAGACTGCCGTAAAGTAAGGTGCGGTCAAACTGCTCAAAATAAAATACTCTTATATACAAGACGCAGTAAAACATTTCACCATGTGCCAATTCCCTTAACATGGATCCCTTCTGTAGCTGCTGGTGAAACGGCCCAACACGGAGGAGAGCGCGACTGCTTTTACACAAACCCTGATTCCAGTCAGTTGAAGGAGAATAAAACACGTGCACGTATTGTTGGCACCTCTCAGTAAGTTTGCTATGCCAACGTCGCCATGAAAAACACTTCACAGCTTTTATCGTTACAAATAATAAATGCATATATTAAATACAAGCTAAAAACAAGACATCCGTCTTAAATCTCTGAATCAATCTTAAAAACTACGTAAGAATGTTTGATTTCCTAAATCTAGGCCCATGCCTGCTATATTCATTTAATTAAGATTGTATTTATAAACTTAGACCTAATCACTTGACCTGTTCTGAACAGGAATAGTAAATATATCAGGAACTGCCTGCTCTGGTTTAATCTTTTAGTATCATTATCTAGAATAGTTTGTTTTAGGTTCAGTTGTATAAATAGACTTTTGGTATAAAGGCTACACCTCCTGACATTCTTGTCCCTACAGACGGTCTCTGACCACACCAGACTCATCACAAGTCCTCGTCCATTTCAAAGCTGCTCCTGCGGCTGCTGGTTTTAGAGGCACCTGGTGACAAAGGAGAAAACAGCGGCTCGGCCCCCTGTTCTGGAGACAGAACGCACCCCTCGTCCATTAGAATGTCTCCCAGACCAACGTCGGGGTAGAGAGCCGAGGCGGCGTGGTCGTCGAGCTCGGCGAAGCTCAGGCTGCCGAGGTCCAGCGGGCTGCTGATGGTGACTCCTGCGGGGGAGTCTGAGGAGGGCGGGGACAGAAAGGAGGCTGGCAAAGGCTGCCCGGCGGCTCCCAGACCAACAAAAGTCTGGGTGGAGGCGCCTCCTGGCACCGACTGGCTGCTCTGTGGAGCTGCCTGATGCTGCAGCAGGGAAGGATCAGAGCGCAAACCCGAAGAAACGCCAGCAGATGAGAGTCCGTGGAGCCGTGCCTGCATTTCCAGTTCCTGTGAACAACAGCGACACGTAGGCATTCACACTGATACGGGTACTGGTTTACACCTAGGAGAATGTGTTGGTACATGGAAAGTGGTTTAAAACATAGAAACCATGACTGAAGCAGCTCTCACTGACACGTGTTTTAACCTGCAGTCATAACTGTGTGCTAAGTAAGTGTTGGCACCTCTCAGTAAGATATCATAGATATCACAAGTGTTATGCTGATAACACAACAGCATAAAATATGATGAACATTATAACGTAAAGTCTGCACAGAAAGGTTTACTTGAGCATATTAACAATTACTTCTTAGAATATGTGCATTTTTGTCTTGTTTTTCTCGAATATACAACAATGTTTTGAGCATCTGTGGTTTAAACGTAACATTTTTTACCACTTTTACTACCTGGATGCGTAACATTAGAATCTGGTTGTTTTGTTCCAGCTTTTTTTGCCGCATTTCAATATCTTTTGCTTTCTGCTGCTCCTTTTGCAACTTCCTGATGTAATCCACAGAAGCTTTCAGGATGGTGCCTTTATTCCATCGCATGTCCCTGTCATTATTGTACGACCGTTAGAGGGGAAAAAAAATAAAAGAGAAAACACAGCAGAAACAAAACTTGATTACTTACAACAGTTGAAGGAACAAAGTGCAGAACTTCAAAAGCTTTAAAATTTAAAAATAAATAATTGGAGAAAAATTCAATAAGGCAACTTACGGGTCACTGGATTTGGGTATCAGAGTACCCAGCTCCTTTATGCGGTCATTGATGTTGAATCTTCGCCTCCTTTCAACTGTAGTCCAGAAGGTTGAGAAAGAAAGGAAACATGAGTGTAACATGGAAAATGGAAGAGAAAAAAAACACATACCATATTTTTTTGGACTATAAAGCGCACCAGATTATCAGGTGCAATATCAATGAACGGGTCTGTTGTCATACATAAGGCGCACAGGATTATAGGTACATTAAGTAAAACAAAACAGTCAGATAAGTCAAACTTTATTCAACTCATTCACAATGACCACATAAAAATGGTTTGAGGTCAGTAAGTACAATCAGAATTAATACATAAGATGCACCTGATTATAAGGCTCGCTGTCAATTTTTGAGAAAATTTAAGGATTTTAAGTGCACCTTATAGTCCGAAAAATATGGTACCTTATGCAATGACAGCTATCTGCATTGTACTTGTGCATAGTGTTACTGTATTCACATTCATTTCAGTACAAGTCGTCAGTATGCTTACAGAAAAAGCAGAACGCATAAATTAATGTGAACTTACTGAGGTTATGGTTGTCTTTCTTCTGCCTTTCTTTCATTAGTGCTTTGGCATCTGACTCTGACAAAACAAAGTCATGTTTTTTAAACTCTAATCAAACTAAAAAGAGAATTACTGCATGTTTCATAAAAATCAAAGCACGTGTAAGTGCATTCTGTACCAGAAAGTTCCCTTTTAATTTTTGGCAGGTCAGCGGGGCAGGAGTTGCTGACAGTAAGCGTAGGAGCAGCCATTCCGGGGCTGTGGTAAACGTCCAACAGATTTCCTGGGAGCTTGAACCACAAGAAACAACGCGTTACAACAGATAGATACTTTTAATGGAAGAAATCACAACCGCTACATATTCAGAAAAAAATGCATATTTAACAATTGGTTTCTTAGAATCAGATAAATGCCTTTTTTACAAGCTGAAGCAAAATATTGACAATATTTTCAAACTAAGTTTTAATCGACTGCTGTTATTCAAACAACAAACGGTCTCTCTTTGCTTCAATACCAAAGAACACATTTACCTCACTGAGTTTCTTTTTCTTGTCCTCCAAAATCATCACCATAATCCTCATTTTCTATTTTACCGTTCAGTTTTGACGAGCTTCCTGAGACTTAGTGGTTAACCTGCCAGAGTACTTTCCTGTCAGCAAAATCCACTGTCTCGCTTCCCCCTTGTCTTCCACCCTCCCACAGCTTTACCCCGCCCAGGCAGCACTTCTGTGACGAATAGTAACAAAGTGCCAGAAATGCATATTTGTTCCCACAGCTTTCAAATTCCACACATAACAGAGAGCGTTCATTCACAGAAAAAAACACTCCGATTATAAGGAGATAAGTGCGACTGAGCTGCCTAAAATCAAGTGAGATTTGTCACCAAAAACCAGAACAAACAGTCAGAGCTAATGTTGAAAAGGAAGTAGTCACAGTTCAGTGAATGTATTGTTCTCACCGTGCTGGGCAGCTGAAGACCAGAGTCAATCAACGTAATGATGTCATCATTAAAACTGGATTCAAGGCTAATAATGTCGTCGATCACATCATCGATCTAGATACAACACAGAGATTCACCCACAGGGACATGTTAGACTGTACTAAAGTAATAAAAATATAGACATATTGTGTGTGTTTTAGCATCAAACACAATGTCATGACATAAAGCATTTAACCCAATGCAAGAGCTGTAAAGGAAGATGATTCCAAAGATGCAGGAGAAGTGCTGGCTCAGTTAAACTACAGGTGTAGTATTTCACATCTTATTGTGACAGCAGCCCAACAGGAGCGAGATGATAACGGGCACGCTTCATCACAGTGGGAGCTTCTAGTTTAACGCTGCACAACAAACGTAAATAGGCAAGAAACGAGTTGTGTTTAACTTCCTCAAAATTGTACTGTGATTTTGCAAAAAAGGCAAATAGGCAGCATTGAGCAACCTGCTGTCAAAGCAAACACAAGCCCACAGAGAAGACAGTAAACCACAGGATTTCTCTTACTTCCTCTTTGTTGGATCCAATGTTGAGCAGAGCCATAGGACTGTTAGGGGCACTGCTGGCCGAAGGGCCAACTTCAGGGGCCGAACTGGACTGGGGGGCAGGGGACACACTGAGAGTCTGAGTCACCGTCTTGTTTCCCAAAGTGGTGGAGAGGTACTGCTTCACCTGCTGCCTCTGAGCCTGCTGGATGTGGTACTTGGTGGGGTTCTCCAAGTGGGTCTGCACCTGAACCATACCAAAAACATTAACGATAAATGTGTAAATCTGATGCACTAAACAGTTAATACAAGTTATGTTATGAATACAAAAGTGTTTAGACAGTTAAACGCTGAGTAACAATTATATTAAGAAATGCAGTGATGTGAACAGTTTTTTAAACAAATGTTTTTATTTAATTGTGTTTTGCTGTTAAAATTGATATAGGTGGTAGAGCTGTCATTTCTAACCCAAACCCAGAGCCTGACTCCACCCAACCTGGATTCATACTGGGCCATAATAATGTGCTTAATGTGCGAGCCGGGTCGGTGTCGGGCTTTTGATTGCGTCAGCGGACGAGCGTGGCTGACGATCCAATTATATGGCAACATGGCTTGCCATACAATCACCAGCTGCACATGGCCATTTGACCGCGTGCTGACCAGCTGGTTGAAAGAGGTAAAAAGTTCAGTTAAGCTTCAGATGGACTACTGCCAGTGATCCATCGCCCAAATGGACATTCATTCAGCCGCTGCACTCAGCGGATGAGCGCGGCCGACAACCCAAACAGGTGAGATCACAAAATATCCAAGATGTCAGAGCAGGGTCTGTGTCTGAATAATGCAGAATGCAGCACAAGCAGGGATTTTAATGCGCTTTGACAGCCATGAAAGGACAAACATCCCCTCAGCTCTGATCTTCTGCCCCCTTTACTCAGCCGCGCGCATCCGCCGACCCTTAACTATATAAGCAGTCAAAGCTTAATTAAACTGTTCGGGGGGGGGGGGGGGGGGCTTCAGGTTCGGACCTGTAATTACTGTTAATTCCTTGGGTCGGGTGGGGTTCGGAAATTATGGCTATGGGCTGGGGCCGGATTTTTGGGGCCCCGAATGCAACTCTAACAGGTGGTAACCAAAGACAGTATAAATTGTGTATTAAGAGAGTAATAAATACATGCAATACCCCACAAGTACTGAAGTTCTTTGGTAACATTTCAATAGAAGAACTTGTAAACTCCACACAGAAATACACCAGGTCCAACCAGGAACTGAACCCAGGAACTTCTTGCTGTGAGGCAACAGTGCTAACCACTAAGCCATCGTGCTATTTTCTTTTTAGGTTTTAGACTAATGGTTGTAAAACTGGCAGGTTTCTTTATTTGTCATACACACCACATGTGGTGGAATGAAATTGGGTGCACAGGGTCCCAATCACATCCAACAAAAGTATAAAATGTAAAAGAACTTCAGTAATAAGATCTAAGATATGAACTAAGAAAAATGTTTAACTAAAAATACACTAAGCACTAGTAGTACAAAAACAATACGAGGAACAGCAGCAAAAACATGAGTCTGTGTGAGCAGATGAGCATGCATGAACACAGCAGCATGAAACAGATCAGCAGCAACATGATGTGATTTTTCACAGTGATTATTCTGGTTAGAGATTCATGAGTCTAACAGCCTCAGGGTAGAAGTTGTTCCTCAGTCTAGTGGTTCTACACTTAATGCTCCTTAACCTCCTTCCTAAGGGGAACGGAGCAAAATGTATGTGTGCTGGGTGAGTGGGGTCCTTCATGATGCAGGTGGCCCTCTTCCTGCATCTAGAGGTGTAGATTAGAGCTGTCATTTCTAACCTGAACCTGAAACCCGGCCTGGACCGACCAGTTTAAATAGGTTTATAAAAGTTGCGTTAAGCTCAGATGGACACCTGTCACCGGCCTGGTTGAAATGGACTTGTGATCTGTCCAGGGAGTACCCCACCTTTCGCACAGTAACTGCTGGACATGGACACCAGTGACCCAGCAACCCGAAAAGGAAGAAGTGGGTAAAGATAATGGATGGATCAATCAGCTGATCGCCGGCTGCGTGCATCTCCGCACCTGCTCTCATCTGCAGTGAAGGAAGTAGAAGAATCTACAAAAGCCAAAGCGAGCATCGCGTTCAATTAAAATAGCCTTTTCTATATTTTTCCTAATAATTTAGCTCTAAAAATAGTTTTGTTCATCTGTATAATAGCCTATCTTTACAGTTGAATTTTTAGGCTATTCTTTTTTATGTTAATATCCATTTGGTGACTTGTTAATAAAAATAAGTCTTATATCTTCCATTCATTACATTTGTAAAACTATCATGTCAAACTGATTTGTTTACAAAAGCAAGAAAAGCTTAATTATTATTTTTTTTTTTTTTTTCGGGTTGGGCCCAGGTAGGGCTCAGAAAAACAAACAAACTACGGGCTCAGTCCAGTCCGGGCCGGCTTTATTAGGCCCCAATGCAACACTAGTGTAGATGTCTGTGATGGTGGGGAGGCTGACTCCAACAGCCTTCACCACTCTCTGCAAAGCTTTTCTTTTTGTGTTTGTTAATGTGGATTAGCTGTGTAGAAAATCATCAACCGGTAATAATTATTTTCTGTAAGTTTCATTAAAATCTCTTTAGGTGTTCATAAGATATTTTGCTAAAACTATAGACAAGTGAAAACACACACAAAGGCAACAACTCTTTTTCTTCAGCAGTGGGAAATATGTATAAATCAGACTCAAACGCACTGTTGAATTTTCCAAGTCTACAATAATTAAGGATGAAGCAGAGTGAGGTGGAAAACTGTCTGATTTATACATTTTTATTAATTTTACGTTTTTCTCCATGAATAAAGCACACATCGAGGTAATAAAAGGAAGGATTAGACAATTTTTATCAGTTACATTCAAAATATTTTTACTACAGCCAGACTGATATATCGGGAGGACTGATATTTTAGGCCGGTATAGGCATTTGGGGACAGATCGTATCAGTGATAATTGTTCCATTATGTGCCAATATAAGCACTTCTAATTTTCACCCTTAAAATGCTGAGAATCTGCGTAATTGTACAACGTATCCAGCAGAGGGTGCATGCAGACTATTTCAAGTCATGGCAGTTCACTTTAAGTTTCGATTTCAGTTAAAGCAGGGAGTAATACTGTGTGGCATATTTTGCTGAGCAGAGCATGGTTAAGTTTATTTTAACTGATCTGTAAGATTAAAAAAAAATCAACAATAAAAAAAATTATCTTCAATCCTCCAACACGCTTGTCATTAGCTATGTGCCTCGCAAGTTAGCAAGCTAACATTTAGATAACCTAGCATTGGCTAGGTTTTCTAGGTTATCTCACATTTTACCTTGTAAAACTTTATCCAGAGCAATTAGTTTAACGTAGAGGTAAAATATATCAGTGTTAGCAACGTTATCTTTGTTGTCCTCAGTGAAATACATTGTCTGAAATCTTCACTTCTTTGCAAAGAAAAAACAAAATGCTGCTGCAGTCAATACTACTGTAATTAGGCCTTCACCATAGATGACTCACTGTTCAAACAATGAACAGGGAAGGGCATTTCTTTGTGTAATTTATATTTTTGTAAACACTTGATAACTTTACGTTGAATAGCGGAGGGTAGAAAATGTGAACACACGTTAGGAAGATTGTTTTTATGACCAGTACACAACTTGTAAACCTACTGTTGGACTAATTAAAGCGTGGATCTGATTAGCTTAGCTTCATGGTTGTTAACAGCTGCTCTAAATAAACAAGCCCTGCTCCACTTGCTGTTTACTTAGATTCTTAGGGGTGGACACAGCTCAGTTTTATTAGCCATTACATCAGTTATTGTCATTTGCCTTCCCCTCCCAATATCGGTATTGGCAATAGACAAAATTTGTATATCAGTCGGGCTCTAATTTTTACAAAACAGCGCATAGATTTCAGAGCAACAAATGTTGTCATCAAAACTTTTTTTCTGAGAAATGTCTTTCTAATTTTTCTTTGTTAATATGATCAACATTCTGCATTTAACACCTTTGATTTTGCTTTCTTTGAGTTACTTTCAAAGTTCTCCAAGATATTGTTCACAGATTTGTGTAAATCTGTGTTAGTGAGCACTTCTCCTTTGATGAGATAATTCATCCACCTCACAGATGTGGCATATCAAGATGCTGGTTAGACAGCATGATTATTGCACAGATGTGCCTTAGGCTGACCACAATAAAAGGCCACTCTAAAATGTGCAGTTTTATCACACCGCACGATACAGATGTCGCAAGTTTTGAGAGAGCATACGATTTGCATGCTGACTGCAGGAATGTCCACCAGAGCTGTTGCCCGTGAATTGAATGTTCATTTCTCTACCATAACTCGTCTCCAAAGGTGTTTCAGAGAATTTGGCAGTACATCCAACCGGCCTCACAACTTCAGACCACATGTAACCACACCAGCCCAGGACCTCCACATCCAACGTCTTCACCTCCAAGATCATCTGAGACCAGCCACCTGGACAGCTGCTGCAACAATCGGTTTGCATAACCAAAGAATTTCTGCACAAACTGTCAGAAACATCTCAGGGAAGCTCATCTACGTGCTCGCTGTCCTCATCGGGGTCTGCACCTGACTGCAAATTGTCATCGTAACCAACTTGAGTGAAATAAATGCTCATATTCGATGGCGTATGGCACGTTGGAGAGGTGTTCTCTTCAAGGATGAATCCTGGTTTTCACTGTACATGGCAGATGGCAGACATGGTGTTCTTTGGGTTATCGGTTTGAGAATTGAGTGGTCCTTGGTGGGGGTGGGGTTATGGTTTAGGCAGGCATATGTTATGGACAACAAACAGATGCATTTTATGTCTCACCTGTGAGGTGGATGGATTATGTCTGTAAAGGGGAAGTGCTCACTAACACAGATTTACACAAATTTGTGAACAATATTTGATAAAAAGACTATTGTGTTTGTAGAAAAAGCCTTTGAGCTTTGAGTTCAGCTCATGAAAAATGGGAGCAAAAACAAAAGTGTAGTTTATATTTTTGTTCAGTGTAGTTAAAAAGATGAATTTTAACCTGACTTAGTTAAGTCATGACTAAAAACTAAAGGGAAGTGCCTGAAACTATGGAGCCACATCAGGAAAAACAAAACACTTTTCCACTCGCCTGAGTTTCACAATGCTTAATGTTTTTTTAAGAAAAAAGGAATAAACAATGATGAAACGTTACATTCAAGGTTGTTGTTTTTTGTATCAATCTCTAAATTAGTAATTTCTAAAAATAAAAAATAAAAAAACCTAAAAAAAAACCCAACAACTTAATTTCCATTTTATCTTTTATAAGAAATGTTATCAACAAACTAAAACAAATTGAATTTTAAATCACTGCATTTTATTTTTAACCTATAATTTTCAGCATTTTAACAACTTCTTTTTAAGAACAGATGTACAAACTCTTACTTTTAGCACCTCCACGGGCACCTGTGCAGGAGGAGGGCGGGCAGCGTTGGGGGGCAGGGTGACAGAGATAGCAGGAGTGGAGTCGGAGGCTCGGAGCTGAGAGGCCGAGGCATGTTGCTGGGCCTCACGCCGCTCCTGCTCCTGAGCTTGTTCTCGCATTAGCTGCTGCCGCAGCAGCACACGGGATGACATGATGGGTACAGATCAAGGTTTAGAGCCGGAGCTGGAAAACAAATAAACAAAGTGTTGAACTGGTGCTAGAGGAAATAAAATAATCTGCATTAGTGTTTAAATGATGCTGCTTTGAATGTTTGTCATAATGTGACTGCTCCTCATGGTTTCTAATATATTTAAACTCAAAATAAACACATTGTTTTCATTCATCAATATCCCAAGCACTTGGTTTACTTACATAAAATCAAAATCAGACTATATAAAATGATTTTTGATGCAAGAAGGATGACATCACACAGATGAAAACGACAAAGACTATGATAATTATACAATTATGTTATTGGGCAACCACTTGTTATCTTAGATGTAAATTTACAACAGTGAATTATTGAGGCTATAAAAATCTTGGATAGTTTGTGACTAATTGGCTCAAAAATGTAAAAAATATTCAGTTTTATATGTGCTGATGTTCAACCCTTATAAAAACAACCATATTTCATGATGTGTAAGAACATGCAGATCAACTCAATATACTGAAGAGGTTATTAAAAAAACAAGCTGATGATCATAAATTGCTCTGTGATCTCCTCACTGCTGAGCTTTTTCAAAATAATACAATATTTCTGACAATATTTACAATATATATAAATCTACTCTGTAATAAGCAGCTATGAATTATGCCATACTGAAAGAAACTTTCTAAACATGTTACTAAAGTCACTAAAGCCCATCAGCCCCTGCTACAGTTGCTTTAGGAACTGACAGTCAGTAAAATTAGTAAACAGTTTCTTTACAGCGGCAGGTAACATTGTTCACAATGAATGGGTATGTCTGTTTACATTTTAGACTAATGTAGAACTACTGTAAAAGGTGGAGAAAGTTGTCTAATGGATACAACCAAACATGAGTTCGCTTAACCGTTCCGTGAATAATTTTTCCCAGCAGAAGTTTTGATTTGTAAATTGTAAGAGTATAAAAATGGATTAACGAAGTGAGCGTTCCTCTAAGAGGAAGTTCTGCAGTCGTGCACCTTGTACAGGAAACCAACATGCACAGGTGGAGAAGTGGAATGCAACTCTTCAGCACCTACAAGTCAAAATGTGTGAGGTGAAATAAGAGCGTCTAATATTTCTAAAACATCTGACTAAAGGTGTGGCTGTGCTCTGTCAGCTCCTAGCTTTTAAAGTCTATCTTTACTCTTGAACTGGCAAGATGAAGTGTACAGATAACTCAAAATAATCTTAGTTGCACAGTGTTAGAATACACAAGTGTAATATTGTTGCTGAATTCTACAGTCAGTGAATATATGAATTGTGATAAATCCACACTTCTCTTTTTCTTCTCATTACAACTCACACCACTGTGTGTTTTATTGTCCACCATCTTCATCTAAATAAGGAGTGAGCTCCGTCTGGACAGTCTAATGTATTTCTGGTATGTAGAGCATGAATGCATCACACTCGGAATAATAACCTAATGTGATCCAAGCAGCGTTTTTGCAATATTGTTACTGCACACACTGATAAAACAATGCATAATGTGATGTACTGTACTGTCATACAATAATGCTATATTTAATATTTTAAATATACAACTTAATAATAATACATTTATTTGGTAATGGGTTGGAATAAGGGGCACCTGCGTTGATCACATATAGAAAAAGTACCCAGAACTCCATCTGTCATCTAGTTGTTTACTTCCCACTTTAGAGACAACCATAGCATCATTTTAAACTTTGGCTCCAACAAAAGCTGCTTGATTATCCTAAATGTGAAAAAAGAACTTTTTCAACACTAAGGGACTCTTAGTTTATATTTTAAGCACATAATTATCTAAATCAACCAGAATGGTTCATCAGCATATACTTTTTCTCACTACCAAAGTGTTATGAAAGGTAACTACAGTGCTCTGTAGTTTTAAGCAGTAATTAAAACACTTTTGAGGGATTTAAGGTCTAATAATAATAATAATTTTATGAAAAATATTGTATTAATATTGTTCTAACCACTGAAAAAGTCAGAACATTTTAAAATCTTTATTAAAAAAATACTCGCAGAAAGGTTCATGAAGTAGAAATTATTAATACGCAATACATTATGCCAGTTTTACTGACTGGTGACAACCTGTTACATTAGTCAATGGAAACTATTCATTCCAGAGGTTGTCATTTTATAACGCTGCAATCTTTCTGTTTTCATTATTTTTTGTACCTGCATATTGATCATTTGAAAGTTAATTTTAAGCTTTTATTAATGGCAGTCATTTGTTTTAACACACGACAAAAATATCTTCAGGTCGAAGAGACAAAGGCATAAGTAATCTGTTAACTTGCTTTATTTCAGGTGACAGTCCGTTAAAAACAATGTGAACATTTTGTTCTTATGAAGCTCAAACTATTTGTTATATCTCAGGTGGTGCTCAGACCCTACAGGAGAGTTTGTTGTATTTATTGCGTATATACTACATAACACAACTTTGTTAAAAATAGACCACTAACTTTAGAAAACATACAAGTTTTCCAGTGTTTAATATGCAGTTTGCATTCAGAGCACAGCTTACTCTTGGCTGGTTATGTAATAAACACACCGCTAATAAAAGTGCTAAGCTCATTTTTCTGATAGGACTCCATTTTTTAAATCATATATCTGTTTGAGTGGTTAGATGATAGTTAACAAGCGTCAGACATCAATCTGAGGATACTTTTTGTTTTGTAATCTCCATGTTAAGCAGCGGTGTTCAGGCGTCATGACTTGGCAGAGCTGTTTGACAGCTCCGGGATGCTAACGGGCCGCTCAAACAAGAAACATACACAAAAATACAGCTTTTACTTCAGAAACCTTTGACTGAAGCTTTAAAGTATAGCAAAAGACAGGAGTGGTTTATGTTTGAGGACAGATTCGATCTTTCAGCAGTAACGAACAACACAACCAAAGTAAAAAAGGAAGTTAGCGCTTAGCTAACTAGTCGGCTAACCCTCGTTAGCTGCCCCAAAAGCTACTGCTATGTAGCTAAAATATATATTTTAGATTCAAGATACGTACCATATAAATTACTTTAAAGTAATCAGGGCCATAAGTTTGCGGAGTCCTCCGTTTTCTTTGCCATTGTACAATGTCGGTGATTACAAAATCGTTAGCTAACCACTATTCTAAACACTGTTTACGTTGGACTGAGGTCAGCAGGAAAAATGTGACCCGGAAGTAGTTGTCAGCTGTCAAATGGGATTCCTCAGCAGCTGTTTTGTACATTTAAAAAAAAAAAAGCTGTTTTGTACATCAAGTACTGTACTTAATCTAAGTATACTGTACTTCTGTACTGTACTGTACTTTGTGTCAGTGCAGCTGGGTGCAGAACAAAGTCTGCTTTTGTATCATATTTAAGGGGTGTTCAAATAAAACAAGGGGAGGACGAAAAATGTACTGAAAATTTTTAATTTTAGAAGTGTCCAAAAAAAAAAAAAAATCAGTTTTACAAAGAGATTTTTTTTTGTGTGAGAAAATCAGGTTATTCGTTTCACTGAATAAAGACAAGACAAATAAAAAAAATGTTTAAAGTTTTTTTTATTTAAATACAATTTTAATTAGTCTTTTGAAAACTAGAAGTCCATTGCAGATGTCAGTGTGTCTGAAAGTTTGGTGGCAATTTTGTCTGCAAAGAAAGATAAAACGTTATTTTAGTTATAATAGTTTGACAGTAAGAAAGTTATTTATTGTTAACGTTTATTTAACCAGGTTATCCCATTGAGATGACAGATCTCTTTTGCAAGGGAGGCCTGGGCCTGAAGGCAGCCTAACATGCATGTTTTTTGGATTATGGGAGTAAACCTATGTAAACATGAGGAAAACATGCAAACTGCACACAGAAAGACCCCTGATTCAGTCAGGGATTGAACCCAACACCTTCTTGCTGTGAGGCAACAGTGCTAACCACCAATCAACCATGCTGCTCAATAGTGGTTGCTGAGACAGTAGACATTTTCTGTCTGCTGGGTGATCCAAGGAGCTGTGCTCCACAGTTGCTTTAACCAACAAGACTCATTATGTGACTGCTTAACTTAAAGTCAACCCAGGTTTGCATTACCTACACAGAAATATGTTGCATCAAAATCTGATGACCACCATCTGCATACCTGAGCTGCACATTTGCAGCAAAAAAATAAAATAAAATAAAAACGGTAATCTGAAACTAAAAACAGATTACATTGACCTTTAGCAGATTGAAAACAACATAGCTGCTCTGCTTCAAGAAGAAAAAAAATGCCTACGCCAACCTGATAATTTCTGATACTCTTTATTTTTCAAAAAGGATGTGTTGCATGTTTTGTTTTGAGACGTGAGCAAATTTTAATCCTGTTAGTTCTACTAAACAGAAAAGATTTGTCAAACAACTGCAGTTTTTAAACGCGTAAAAAGATAAACATGGATATAAATATGAACATACAGACAGAACTTAATGCACTCTGCAAATATTATGTGCTGTGTGCCCTTACTGCATATAAGAAAACAGGATATTTAGTGTTCAGTGATAATTTTAGTAAAGGAAAACATACCAACTCCAAAATTCTGAAATGTCACAGGAACTAGATTTAACAGGTTCCTGTTTAAAACTACATTTACTTTGTTCTGATAAGATGCTTCTAATAATGCTGACTACAGGCTCTTGGAGGGTTGTAATCTAGCTTAGCAGCTTTTGAGTTTTCAGACTTGAAACAGACCTTTTTGTTTTGTCTGTTAAAACTGGGTCATAATGAACTTAAATACATTTATTGTCTGAACACAGCGGAGAGGTTATAATGTAAAATGTGATGTTGAAACCAGCAGTTATACAAACCTGCTCTTTTCTGGAGCTTTTTCCTTTTCTTGCTGGCAGCCAGGAGCGCCTGACCCTGCTGCAGAGGATCTACACTTAAAATACCCTTCAAATCTGGAGCTTTAGGTGCAGCATCCTTTACAGGTAAATCAGTCTTCTTCTGTGCTTTGATCTCCACTGTCATTGGTCCAAACTATTTTGAGGAGCACAGAATTGTGAGAAACAGTGAGTGTGATCACCTGCACTTAACAAGAGTTGAGGACATTTAAACATCTTAAGCTGTAAGGATGCAGTCGTTTCTCACCTCTGAATCACGATCATCCTCCATAGATTCATATTCATCTTTAAACGTTGAGCCTTCCACTGAGCCTCTTTCCACCTCTAGCTCATTACTTGGCTCAACTTGACTACCCTGTGTCATTCCAGTAGTTTCCATGCAGAATCCCATTGGGACATCCAGACAAGAGGACTCTGAATAAAAAAAATCATCTGTCAAAAAGTTTGACCTCACATCACTGTCAAACTAGATGAGCTGCTTGAGCTTTAGGTAAAACTTATACTATTTCCACTTAAGCGCTTTTCCGTTTTAAATACCTCAGCAGCAATCTGAGTACATATTTTTCAGATTAAAAACAGTGCAGTTCAAGTAAACTAATAAAATTTTCTAAAACTGCATATTTAAAAACAGTAAATGACTGTACAGTAAACACCATATTAATCCAGGTTCAGCTGGGCAACCACTTCTGCTTCTTCTGTAACACACACTATTCCTGTGGTCTTCAATCAAAACTCAACAAAATCCACCTAAAAAATTTCTGTCAAGCAAAAATCCAAACTCATCGCTTAGAATATAAAATAAATCTGTCTAATGTGTATACCCTGTAGGGGTTGAACGAGTATATAATTTTTAAACTCGACATTAACATAATAAAACCCGAGTAGAACTAGAGTATTTGATGACGTCATAGATCTCAAGATACATAAATAAATAAAACCGCAAAAAAAGGTAATTATTCACAAAAAAGACCAACAAAACATTGGGAGCATATATTATGCTCCTACAATTTATCATACTGCAAATAAGTCACAGGAAAAACTAAACTATTAGTTATTATGATTAAAGTGCAAACGTGAAAAAACATGCAGCACGTCAAAAACGAAACTTAAACCGAAACTGGTTCTGGTTCGGTGGATTGGACCCTGTGTTACACCATACTCTGTGACCTGCAACAGTGCAACACCGCCCCCTACGGTCATACGGTGGTCACAAAATATGACGTCACTACGGATACTCGACGTAACATTTTTAACCTTGATAGATGTTCTAGCAATCGATGTGTAGATTACTCGAGTACTCTGTTAATGCCCTAGTACCCTGTCTCTCACACAATAACTGCAAAAAAACAACATATATTTTCCCTTCAAACATTTCTCTTTTAGTGACAGCCATGCAGGTTGTTTCCACTCACAGTAGCGTTTTATCAGGCTTGTACCGCTACAGAAGAGGAAGAAGTTACTGCCAGCCCATGGACAAAAAACAAAGCGTTAACCACTGCAAGAACTACAGGTCCTTCTAAAAAAATTAGCATATTGTGATAAAGGTCATTATTTTCCATAATGTAATGATAAAAATGAAACTTTCATATATTTCAGATTCATTGCACACCAACTGAAATATTTCAGGTCTTTAATTGTTTTAATACTGATGATTATGGCATACAGCTCATGAAAACCCAAAATGCCTGTCCCAAAAATTTAGCATATTTCATCCCACCAATGAAAGACAAGTGTTTTTAATACAAAAAACGCCAACCTTCAAATAATCATGTTCAGTTATGCACTCAATACTTGGGCGGGAATCCTTTTGCATGAATGACTGCTTCAATGCGGCATGGCATGGAGGCAATCAGCCTGTGGCACTGCTGAGGTGTTATGGAGGCCCAGGATGCTTCGATAGCGGCCTTAAGCTCATCCAGAGTGTTGGGTCTTGCGTCTCTCAACTTTCTCTTCACAATATCCCACAGGTTCTCTATGGGGTTCAGGTCAGGAGAGTTGGCAGGCCAATTGAGCACAGTAATACCATGGTCAGTAAACCGTTTACCAGTGGTTTTGGCAATGTGAGCAGGTGCCAGGTGGTGCTGAAAAATGAAATCTTCATCTCCATAAAGCTTTTCAGCAGATGGAAGCATGAAGTGCTCCAAAATCTCCTCTCATCTCTCCACAATCCTCCTCAGGGTCCGGTCACCTCTTCTCATTGTGCAGCGTTTTCTGCCACACTTCTCCCTTCCCACACACTTCCCACTGAGGTGCCTTGATACAGCACTCTGGGAACAGCCTATTCGTTCAGCAATTTCTTTCTGTGTCTTACCCTTTTGCTTGAGGGTGTCAATGATGGCCTTCTGGACAGCAGTCAGATCGGCAGTCTTGCCCATGATTGCGGTTTTGAGTAATGAACAAGGCTGGGAGTTTTTAAAAGCCTCAGGAATCTTTTGCAGGTGTTTAGAGTTACGTCGTTGATTCAGATGGTTAGGTTAATAGCTTGTTTAGAGAACCTTTTCATGATATTCTAATTTTTTGGGACAGGCATTTTGGGTTTTCATGAGCTGTATGCCATAATCATCTGTATTAAAACAATTAAAGACCTGAAATATTTCAGTTGGTGTGCAATGAATCTGAAATATATGAAAGTTTCATTTTTATCACTACATTATGGAAAATAATGACCTTTATCACAATATGCTAATTTTTTGAGAAGGACCTGTATATAAACACACACATATAAAAATACTAAAATAAACTACTACTTACTACTTGTACTACTATCCCTATTTTGCGGTTTTTCAGTTATCGCAGGGCTTCAGGGTACAGATCCCCCGCGATAAATAAGGGACTACTGTACTTCCATTAGGTAAATTTATTAAACAGAATGGGATAAAATTTCATTGTTATGCTGATGATACTCAGTTATACTTGTCCATGAAACCTTAAGAATGCATTCAGTTACTTAGATTACAAGCATGTCTTACAGACATAATAACCTCGATGACCCATAAATTCCTGCGTTTAAACTCAGACAAGACAGAGGTTTTGGCTTTTGGACAAGAGCATCTAGAAACTTTGTAGCCTTCCACTTTCTCTGGACTTCAGTTAATCCAAAATGCTGCTGCCAAAGTTTTAATGAGAGTTGGTAGGAGAGATCATATTTATCCAGTATTAGCTTCTCTCCATTGGCTCTCTTTCAAATTCAGAATGAAATTCAAAATCTTACTCACAAAGCTCTCAACAACCTAGTTCCATCTTATATTACAGATCTTATTGTTCCATACTTTCCTAACAGAGCACATTGCTCAGACTGCAGGTTTACTTGTGGTTCCTAGTTTCCAAAAGTAGAATGGGAGGAAGATCTTTCAGTTATCAGGCTCCTCTCTTGTGGAACCAACTTCCAGTTTCTGTCTGTGAGGCTGACACATTGTCCAGTTTTAAGACTGGACTTAAGACTTTCCTTTTTGATACATCCTATTGGGGGGCCTAGATTGGACAGAGGAACGGGAGCCGACCCGGGACCCAAAGCCCCAGGTTCGATCCCCAGCCATTCCCACATGTCGTGGTGTCTCTGAGCAAGACACCCAACCCTAATTGGTCCCCGGGCACCTATATAGCTGCCCACTGCTCCACCTGGGTTTATCCCAGGTGTGATGGGTTAAATGCAGAAAACTAATTTCACCATTATATGGGAACATACAATGATGACAACAATAGCACTTTATTTATTTACTTATAGTTAGGGTTGGCTTGGGTTTCCTATCTATTAGAATCAGCTTTGTTGTCATTGCACCGAAGCACAACGAAATTGCATTTCAGTACAGGCCGTCCGAGAGAAACAAACAAACAGACATGGGGAGACAGAGGCTTACTATCCCTTAGTTATGCTGCTATAGGCTTAGACTGCTGGAGAAACACATTTCCTCACTGCTGCTTTTTACTTGCTCTATTCTACCAGTTTGTATTTGTAATTATTTCTACCCTTAACATGTGTTGTTGTTTTTAGGTTTGTTTTCTTCCAATAGGGGGTACACATGGACCTGCCATACTGTGTTCATTTCTCCTTCCCGTCTTCTCAAACCAGTCAGTCAAAGCAGATGGCCGCTCATCCTGAGCCTGGTTCTGCTGGAGGTTTCTTCCTGTTAAAAGGGAGTTTTTCCTTTCCACTGCTGCCTTTGTGCTTGCTCAGGATGGGAGACTGTGACAAAGTTAAGATTCAACACATCTGCTGCCTTCCTTAGAGAACTTTTATTAAATGGCTTTTCTATGTATGTGAATATTTCTGTTCAGTGCCCCGAGACGACTTCTGTTGTGACTTGGCGCTATATAAATTAACTGAATTGTTTTGTTAATAAAGTATGCGATTTGTGTGATTCCTATGAAAAGCAGATAAACACATGTTTTAGACATGCTTGTTTTTCTGCAATTCAGTTCCTTGTAATAAAAATTTGAATTTAATAAAACAAAAATACAGATTTAAATCTAAAAAAGTTAAAAAAATAAATAAGACTGATAAGACTTATGAATAAGACTGAGCTGAATACAGCACATTAGACTGAGGAAGTCTTTCGGATGAAAGACGAAACGTTTCTACAATTTATTTATTTTTTTTTGAATGTCCAGAGGACCAGATTTAACTTTTTTTTTTTAGATTTTTCTACCTGGATTTTTGAGCATGCATCAGGACAGATTTAAATACTTTTTGTTTTTTACCTGCAAGAACTTCCTGATTTCCTTTTTCCAGCTCATCCCAGTCAAAGGCTTTGCCCATCTCTGAAACTATCTCCGCACTGACATGTGTGGGCAGAGTGTGGGTTTCTGGAGGATGTGTGAAGTAGCTGATCCTTCCTCTACAGAAAAAACACATAGGGGAAATAAACCCAAGGTTAAACAACAATGGCTGACAGTTATTTTTGCAACCTAAACTGTTAATTTTTACCAACCCAGTCCAGTCCATCAGCACACTCTTAGCAGCTTTGTCGGTGTCAGGCAGACCTGCCTTCCTCAGTTTGCCTTGCCGTCGGGCAAGAAGAGCCAGGAACTCCTGCGCTGTCTGAAAGTCTGGCACACCGTAGTGCTCCAAGATCTGAAAATACAACACAAGTAAAGTTAACGCATAGTTTTAATTTCATTTCATTTATTTCTTTATTTAAATTAGGACAGTGCATATTAATCAACATGTCAGCAGTAAGCATCGATGTAAATATGCCGGAGTTAGCACAGTAGCTAATTTTCATCCGTTGTCCTAAGGCAGTCACAATCACAATTTCAATGTGCAGATTTTTTTTTTTTTCATTTAGCCTTTATTTATCCAGGTTAGTCTCATTGAGCCACGAGAACTCATTTTCAAGAGAGACATGTTTATTTTTTTATTTTTTAGGGAGCACATGGTGGGGGTTAAGGGCCTTGCTCATGGGCCCAGAGTGGGGCGAATGAGGGTGGGGGCAAGTGTGGGTGTTTCACCTACCCCACCCACAATTTTTGATGTTGTCGGGGCCGGGGCGTGAACCGGCGATCTTCGGATCACAAGCCCATCACAAGATTACAAGATCACAAGATTACTGTAGGGGGTGGTGTTTCATACCTGTGCTTTGTTGCAGCGTCGGAGGATGGCTTCAACGGGTGGAAGAGGATCCACAAGCTGTTCGATTTTCACACAGTTACGAAGAATCATCGCTGCATCGGTTGTTGACGTTGCCATGACAATACCAGGACAATCCAGGAGTTTTATGTGTTTGTCTAAATGTACTTCTTGTAGACATCTAAAATCCAAAAAATAAAAAAAGTTAATTCTCTAGTTCACTCTTCTATACTGATGATTTTAGCATTAGACTTTTGTAAGCTCAAGTTCAAGTTGTGTTTATTTGTCATGTGCAAGTTGAACACAAAGTTAACAGTACAATGAAATGCTTAGAAGAACCAATTTGACTCGCTAAAAAAAAATCAAAGAACAAACAAACAAGAAATACTAAAAGCATGCAATAAGGGTGCACAAAAAAAGTACCAAAACGTGAGAAGGTAATGATAATATTTACAGTGTTTTAAAGAGAGATAGTGAACATGGTAGAATATAATGATGCAGCAGGATGAATTTGAATGAATAAGTATTTCAAGGTAGTAATATAAGCTGAAATGCACAATATATACATACATACATACATAATACATAATTCAGTGTGATTGTTTGGCATGCTCGGTTCTGTTAATGGGGTGGGGCGCCCTGACGTATTACGTCATGAAATTAGCATATCATATCATCATTTGCCCGGGCAAGCTTTTTTTACAGGTATTATCGTGAACTATATGATATGGCCCAGCCCTAACACACACACACACACACATCACATAATTAACATATCCTACAAGGTGTGCCATTCAACAATTTCATGTACCAAGTCATTACTGATTTTTACTGTAAAACTCCCGAAATACATTGACCTGGCAGACCTCTGTTGGCTTGAGTTGGCTCAAATCAATACTCATTTGTCATTTAACTGAGCAAAAACAATTTAAAGAACACAAATGTTGGCTATCTTGATTAGTGGTGTCCATATACAAACTGCTTTATGAATATGCAAAAGTTTTTTTTATTATTATTTTTTTATTATTAATTTAGCTTTGCATCCACACAGAAACAGCCTTTTAGGAGCCTGTAAACCAGGGCTATTCAACTGGCGGCCCGGGGGCCAAATCAAGCCTACAGGTGAACTCGGTTCAGCCCACCAATGGGTTCATTTCTAAATAAAACTAGATTTTAAACCACAAAACAAACTTTCTTAATGACAATAACTGCTGGATGTCCGGCCCCTGAGCTCTTGGCTTTCAGTAACTGTGGCCCCCTGAACAATTCAGTTGGATAGCCCTGCTGTAAACGGTATTTTTTAAAGTTCAAGAGTGAAAAATTATAGAAACAACCCTTGTGCTTTGTTGTAGATGACCAAAACACAATCTTTTGAAAACTGTAATGTCATACACCAACATCGAACCTGATCTACAACTCAAGCAGATACCATACAATACAACAAATGATTTGTTTGCGCTTTTGCTGCAGCTGCTACAGAACCTACAGCAAAACTTTATAATGTAAATGGCCTGCAAATGGATTCCACTTATATAGCGCCATTCTATCCATCAAGATACTAAAAGCTCTTTACACTACAATCTGTGCCTCATTTACCCATTCATACAGCTCTCTACTAGATCTCTGCAAAGCTAATCTGAATCTATAGAGAGTAATCAGTGCTTTATCACATTCATACACCGATGGGACACCTAGGAGGCAATGAGGGGTTCAGTGTCTTGCCCAGGGACACTTCGGCAGGTGACTGCTGGAGGAATCGAACCCCCAACTCTTGCATTGGAGAACAACTACTCTAAACACTCAGCCACAGCTGCCCTTAACGTATATTTCAAATTAAAGACAAGGCTGATGAATGTACATCACATATTCGACTCACAACAAAATAGACAGGAAATGAGGAGAAAACTCTGGGTGTGGTGTTTCAGACTCCTGTCATCTGCAGAAATATTCTGATGACTCTGCAGTAGTTGGGTGTATCAGAGATGGACAAGAAGCTGAGTACAGGGAACTGGTGGACCGCTTTGTGGCATGGTGTGGAAACAATCATCTCATCTTGAATGTGAACAAAACAAAGGAGATGATTGTAGATTTCAGGAGAATCAGGAACAGATCCAACCCTATTTCCATCATGGGAGAAGAAGTGGAGGTGGTGGAGAAGTATAAATACCTTGGGGTTCACCTGTACAACAGACTGGACTGGAAATGCAACAGTGAAGCATCTACAAGAAGGGACAGAGCAGACTGTACTTCTTGAGGAAGCTGAAGTCCTTCAACATTTGCAGCAAGATGCTGCATATCTTCTATCAGTCTGTTGTAGAGAGCGCTATCTCTTCTGCCATCATCTGCTGGGAGAGCAGCACCAGAGCAAGTGACTTAAAAAAGATCAACAAGCTCATAAAGAAGGCTGGCTCAGTTCTGGGGACTCCTCTAGAACCTTTGGAGATGATTGTTCAAAGAAGGATTCTTCATAAAATGAAAAACATTATAGACAACCCTCAGCATCCTCTTCATCAGACTGTCATACAACAACAAAGTGTCTTCAGTCAGAGGCTTCTTCAAATCCGTTGTAGGACAGACCACTACAAGAGATCCTTCCTGCCCACAGCCATCAGCATATATAACAACTCATTAATAAAACCAGGATGATGAGTTACCACAACATATAATTTCCCTCTGGGATTAATAAAGTATTTTTGAATTTGAATTTTGAATTATCATTTGTATCCAGGAAGTAAGCTTGTCACTGTGAGCAGCAGTGCATCCAGCACTGTCTCCAGCAGTCACTGTGTGAGAGGCAGGGTACACCCTGGACAGGTTGCAAGTCCATCACAAGGCCACTAATGGTGCTTTGCCACAGTCCCAACTCTCATCAGTTCCGCACAACGCTGCACCAATTAAGGGCCTCCCCATTGCCAGTACACCCCCCCCCCCCCCCACTCAGCTTGGTTTATGGGACCACCATAATTGAGGTTCAGGCTAGGGCTGGGCGATATGGCCTAAAATCAGTATCACAATATATTGAGCAGTTTACCTCGATAACGATAAATGGACAATAACTGCAACCCCCCACCCCTGAAAATAATGTGATAGGCCAGCATAAATAATTCACAGCCAGTTATATTGATGGCATAATTCCCTTTTTATTGCCACGTTAATGAAATTTAAAACTACAGCTTCTGCAAATAAATGAAGGAAATGTGTACTTTTAGTTTAGATGTTCGCTCATATTGTTGAGAGCCTGCAAACGCTTGAGCTATTGACTGCTGCCTGGTGGTGGAAGAAGAACTTTGTTCTGGTCCTCGCTTTGAGCTTTTTTAAGTTCTTCCCATTGGACCAGGTGGTTGTGTTGCAGGTGATGGAAGAGGGTGGATATATTGCCCATGGCTTGTCGCAACAGTCTTCTGGCATAGTTTACACATGGCTTTTTTTGTTCAATATCATATTTGCTGAACCCAAAATGTTGCCAGACGACTGATGACGCTTTTTTTAAAATTAGCTGCTCCTCTTCCTCCTGGACCAGCTCTGACCCTGCTGCTGCCGCTTCAACATTCGAAATTTCCTCCATTTTCTCAACCGCATCATCTCTTTCACTTCTTGTTACAGACTGGATGGGGTGGAGTCACATGACTAGACTGCACGTAGTGCAGCGTCTTAAAGGGACATGAGCATAGCTTACCTATACACAGCCAAAAGACAAATCAACTTTTATTTTTATAAAACACCGAAAATACTGACATGGGCAAGATGATGTTAATCATTGTTATAAATTTCGGTGTTGGTTAATTCTCGGTACATTGCCCAGCCCTAGTTCAGGCTGCTCTGAGAGGCCGGTTTTGTCATAAGCAGACAGCAGCCGTTGATTGACCAGCGGAGCTACATCACTGGATGACCTGCCCAGCAAAACTGCAAGCTCCATCTGAACCTTCACTTTCTCATTGTGTTGACAGATGATGCCTCAAGAAATGAGCGCATTCACAGAGAGATATTCAAGATTATGGCACAGCATGGCTACACCCGGACTTATCAGCAGTGGAGGGATAAGCTAAAGAAGTTCCTGTGTCAAATAAGCATGAGATCCTGAATTGTTTCAACAAACATTTTGTTGCTTCTAGTTCTTTATTTGACACAGTCACTAATGGAAAATCAGCCACTTCACTTAATAACCAAACTTCTACAAATCAAATCCTTCCTACAAGTCAACCCTCAGTTAATCACACCTTCTCTTTTTCTCCATTCTCAGTCAGTGAGGTTAATAAACTGTTAAAAGATCTTGACCCTAAAAAATCTGCAGGTCCAGATGAACTTCCACCTTATTTCTTAAGGCTGGCCGCTCACATCATCACAGTCCCTGTGACCCACATCTTCAATCTCTCCATAAGACAAAACTCCATTCCAGATACTTGGAAAACAGCCTTTGTTCTTCCTTTGCTGAAGGGAGGTGACCCCACCTCACTGAACAACTATCGACCAATCTCTAAACTCTGCATTTTAGCCAAGGTTCTAGAAAAACTGATAAACCCTCAAATCAAAAATTACCTGGACTCATTTAACATCTTACCTCCACATCAATCTGGTTTCAGGAAACAACACAGCACAACCACTGCTTCACTGAAGGTTATTAATGACGTTGTTGAAGCACTGGATGCTAAGGATTATTGTGCTGCACTTTTCTTAGACCTGTCTAAAGCTTTTTTGACACTGTGGATCATAACATCTTGTGTCATAAGCTCTCAGAAATTGGTTTCTCAGAACACACCATTGGTTGGTTCTCTAACTATCTCTCAGATCGGAGGCAATGAGTTCAACATAATGGTACTTCCTCCAGTTATTTAACAGTCAACAATGGTGTACCACAAGGCTCAGTCTTAGGACCCACCCTCGTTACAATCTACATACATAATGTAGGTAAAAACATCCTTAATGCATCCATACATTTCTATGCTGATGACACAGTTGTTTATTGCCGAGCTAAAACAGTTGATAAGACTTTCCAGCTTTTGAAATCTGCATTCAACAACATCCAGACAGATTAGTTCCACCTCAAACTTGCCCTAAATGCTGACAAAACCAAAGAGATGCTTTTTTCAAATAGGAAGTTGGTCCCAGCAGTTCTTCCTCTGATTTTATCCTCAAATGGTGTCCCGATTGAATTTGTTGATTCCTATAAATATTTGGGTATCTTAGTCGACTCGCATCTCTCTTTTAAGCTCCATGTGGAAAACTTGGTAAAGAAACTGAAAGTTAAACTGGGTTTCTTTTTCAGAAATAGATCCTGTCTAACTCTGAATGCTAGGAAACACCTTGTATCTGTGATCTTCCTTCCCTCCATTGATTACGGTGACATTATTTACATGAACGCTCCTATAAGAACTCTGCAGATGTTGGATGCTGTCTATCATGGTGCACTAAGATTCATGCAAACATGTTCCTGTTTTTAGTTTTCTACATTCACCTTAGAATCTAGCTGGTTTTGTTACTTTTTTAGCCATCCTATTTGTTAAAAAAATAAAAAATAAACAACTGTATGACTTTTTATAACTGTTTATTGTTGCTGTTGCCCATTGTTGTCATCATTCTTTGTTGAAATCAGGTCTCTCTTGTAAATGAGTCCTCGAGGCTCAATGGGATTTACCCGTCTAAATAAAGGTTGAATGAAAAAAAATTGAAGTCTGACTTTTGGGTGATTAAGGACCACAATGGGCGGAGTGGCTCAAACACAATGACCTGTTATGATCTCACCCACAGAGCAAGGAAACGAGTCACAGTGGCAAATCACCTACACCTGAGAAGAACTGATAAGAACTGAGAGCTAAGGAAGCTAAAGGAAGGAGGCAAAGCAGCTATAGAAACAACCATTCACTCTCTCACTCACACCCATGGACTATTTAGAGTTATCAATCAGCCTAACATGCATGTTTTTGGACACTCGCGTTTTGTTATGCTTCAATTAAAACTCACTGACCAACTAAATGCTTCAAAATCCAAAAGAACAGATTTACATTTTGTCCTGTTTCATGCTCAATAATCCAGGTGGATAAATCTAAACCGGTTGAGTCAGGTCCTCTGGGCAGATTGTTCTTTGTCTTTTCAACAAAGAAGAATCTGCCCGGAGGACCTGACTCAACCTTGTTGGAGCTTTACATACTATTTTTATCTTAATTTGAGAAAATATTTTACTATTATAATTTTGTTCCATGAACTTGAGTCAATGCATTTACTGTGTATGTTTTTATGATTTACTTAGATAAATCTTGGTTTATTTAATTTTTACTGTAAAGTACTTTCGTGCAACGTTTGTTATAAAGTGTTTTGTAATTAAAAATGACGCTAAAAGTTAATTTAGAGCTGAATACAGGAAATAAAAATAAACACAACCTAAAGTCTCTGGATAGTTGTCTATTTTGCTGATTCTTAATGAGGCAGGAGCAGTTTCAAGTACAAAGAATGCAGGATAAACATAATAATGTTCACTTACTTAGTAACACCAGGAGTGGCTCCAACACTGCACGCTCGTGCTCGTTTCAGACTGTTGATCAAACTACTCTTCCCAACATTAGGAAAACCTGTAAAACACAACAGGCTAAATGATTGCAGCTCAGATAAAAACGTTATCAACAAGAACAATGGAGTGGATTTGTCATTTATCGACACCATCAACAAGGTGAAGCTTCAGGTCTGTTTTGTACAACGGAGCTTTAGGGCCACGCTAAGAAAAAAAAATTAAAAGCCATAAAATTACGAGAATAAAGTCGCACAAGACTTTTTTTTCAGCTCTCGTTTTTTTTTCCCACGATGCGACCGGTCAATCAATCCAGTAGGCTTGTCTAAAATGACCAGTCCAAAGCTAAATGCTCCTTACCTGCAGAGAGCTGCTGCAGCCCATCAGAGTGTACCACCTTACTGTAAGCAGGCAAGCTGTTTATTGATAATTTTGTCCTTCAACATTGTATAACAGCAAAGTTACATTATGTTATTACGTTGCACAGTATGCAAGCCTTCTGATGGGCTGCAGCAGCTCTCCGCAGGTAAGGAGCATTTAGCTTCAGATTGATCATTTGCTGACATGCCTACTGGATTGACTGACAGGTCACATCATGGATCTGACTCATAGAAAATAAATAAATGAGTTATATACATAAAAAAAAGAAAGTCTTGTACGACTTTATTCTCATAATTTTATGGCTTTAAAAAAAAATTTTCTTAGCGTGGCCCTAAAGCTTCGTCGTAGTTTTAAATGCATCTACAGTTCTTGGGAGAAACTCAAGAACAGGTTTAGCCTAATACCAGGACTTCAGAACAGGTCTTCTGTGGACAACATGCAAACCGGACTCATTTTGCAGCTTACCTACAACACCTACAGTGATGGCCACCTTTATGTCCATGTTGCGACAATAGTTGCCCAGTAATTTCATCAAGCAGTCTGCTCCAACACATGCACTGCTGCTGAGCAGCTCTGTGGTGGCCTGTGACACTGGAACATTACTGCGTTTCTGCTCATTGCAAGACAAAAAGTGCAGAGAGGTGATTATTATCCTAAACTACTAGAATATGATGATGATTTTTCATTAGGTAAAACAAATCCAACAGCGTCTTTTCTTACCAAGTTTTTATTTTGATGTTGAGTCGATGCTTTGAATGCCACAGTGGGAAACTCATTTCGAAGATACTTAATCCACTTTTCAACAATTTGCTTTGATACCAAATCTGTAATAAAGGAATCAGTTTGTTCTTAAAACAAAAAAAGGCAGTACTTGTAGCTGAGCATTTTTTTAATCACTTCTGTTGTTAGCACTCTCACCAATCTTATTAAGGACTAAAACTATCTTCTTGTTGGTTCCACTCTGGATGACCGCCTGTTCAACCTGAGGACATCTGCAGCCCAGAGGATCTCGTGCATCCAACACCTCCAGAATGACATCTGAGGCCTCCACCACCTTAAAAACAAACAAAACAAATAATTTATTCTCTATGTAAAGATTGACTTATAATTCAGAACAAGACTGAATATTGTTCAGAACCAATACATCAGCTACCTACCTTTTTAAATTCCCTGTAATATGCCTTTCTTGAATTCTCATTCTCAAAGTTAACGTGTTTCTCCAAACTCTGCATCTCTGTTTCCTGTGAAAACAATTAAAGAGTGAACAAAACGCTACAAGCACACTGTGCAGGAAGTGAGTCTAACTGGATTCAGCAGCCGGCTGGTATTTACCTTCAGCTCAAATTCTCTCTGGCGCTGCAAGATGTCATTCTGAAAAACTTCCAGGTTTCTCCTCTTCATCATCTCACGGTCTCTGGACAGTTTCTGCTTCTCCTGGTGGGCTTGAAGCTAAAAAGTAAAAGTGTTTTTAGGGACTGTTGAATCTTAACTGCATTAATTCATGTAATCCAAGACGTAAGCAGATTTACCCTTTGCTTCCTGACATCCTCTGGTTTTCTGGAGTTCTTGGCGTGTTGAACAGCTGTTAGCTCTGTATTATATGTCCTTCCTGAGGTATTAGCCTTTTGTCCATCTTTAGTCTGTATTAATAACATTTACAAATACCAACAAAAATACAACCCAGATGTTTCAGTTCAACAGAATATTAAATGACTCTGTAAAGTGCTAAAATCTCTAAGCTTTTTTTTTTTTGGTAAAACATAAATAAATTAAAATACAGTTCCTCGTGCATTTTGTTTCATACGAGAACAGAAACTGTCCTTTCTTTGATAAAAATTAAAGGTTCTTCACTTTTAAACTTGTTTAAGACATTTTTGTCCTTTGCTTCCTGAAAGATATCACCACAATGTTAAAGTTTTAAAAGTAAGGGCTTCAAAGTCAGCAGGGCTTAAGTTAGTGATACGTTCACTGCTTCGTTTATACATCGCCCAGCTACACAGCATGGCCTCTCTGAAATCCACCAGGATTTATTGTTTTCCACATACTTGTTGCAAACTGTAAAAAAAAAAAAAAAAGATAAAGTTTTGCACCACCATATGTAACAATCGTTCATCAAAATATGTAGTAAATAATGTCATAACATGGAGAATAAAAAAACAAAAATAAAGACCAGCCTCCAACAAAAGTCTCACCTCTTCAGCATTTTACACGAAGGCCCACATCTTTAAGGAAATACAATCAATACTCAACAAAGTGGTCTATTTGATGCTTATTCCTTCAACTTTTTAATTTGTTTGCAACTATGCAAATGCAATATTTTGAAATAATTTAGTTATTTTTAACAAATAAGAAAAGAGTTTAAATTGGCTAATGTAGTTTTGTAATTTATTCATCTCTTATCAAATCAATGCTAATTTTAGATTCAACAGTCAGACTGAACCAGTTGTAAAATGTAGTTTCTTTCACTTGAGACAGCTGGCCAAGAAAAGGCCCATTCTTTCTCAGCAGCTGTTTGAAACAGTGAACTTTCCTTCGTTACAGCTCAGCTGGACTAACGTAACGCTCTATGTTGGGTCGGTACATCTGCCGTCCCATCCTTTTACAGATGGCGAAAAATGAAGTGGCACGTTTTTAACTGGCACAAGAACGTTTTATCAATTTTCAACAGTTTGAAAATCTCTTCAATGGCTGTCCCAGTTTAAAATTAACAGGTCTCTCTTGTAAATGAGACTTTGAGGCTCAATGGGAACTAATCTGTATAAATAAAGGTCTAATAATAATTAAAAAAAATGTTTTATTCGTTTTAAAATCTAAAAATGATCTTGCCCCTCCTTTTCTTTACATACCTGCCTGTTCTCTCAGGTCTGTTGATCAGCTGATCCTGACTGCACCAAAAACGATGTGAAAGCTCAGAGGGGACCGGGCTTTTGGGGTGGCGGGGCCAATGTGGAATAAATTGGCTTTGCACATTAGAAGGGCATCCTCCATAGCTGCCTTTAAAGCCTCGATTAGAACTCTTTTTGTATTTTTTGCCTTTTGTTACCTGATTTTTTATGTTGTTGTTTTTTTATTTCTAATGTCATTGAATTGTTTTTCCATTTGTTTTATTGTATTGCACTGTACAACACTATTTTCCAATGTCAATGAGGAGTTAAAGGGCTTTATAAATAAAATGAAATAGAATTGAAATGTTTTTCTTCCTTTCTTCATAAGTTTGATTTTTTCCCTCAACACAAAATATATTTAAATTATTTTGCATAAATCTTATTCTTATATTATAGTGTTTTTAGAAAACACAAGTTGTCATCTTTATTTTATGAGTCAAACAGAAATTTGAACTGTAAACAAACTATTATGACGTGATGACGTCTGACTGTAACAGATGTACAGAAAATGTAACTTATCAACATTTAAACTGTTTTACATCAGTCATGTTTTGACATGTTGTCACGATGAAAACTAAATGTAAATAAATGAAAACTAGGCTCGCATGACTTTCTGCCAAACAGAACCAACCCGCCTCAGCCTGACACTCATGCTAGCTTGTTAGCACTTACTTTAAATTTTCCAAGAAAGCCGAGACGTTTGGCCCGTTTCTGTTCTGTAAAATACAAGAACGAGAAGACGAGCCGATTAAAAACCTCCACAGACACATCGAGAGTTCACACACTGAACGAAAACATTCACTACGTACTAGCTTTGGACATGACTTCTCGTCTCCTTCGAGCTTCACGTGTTTTGGAGAGGACGGCTACATTTAGCACATGATGACGTCACTTTAAACTTCCGGTACTACCAAAATAAAAGATTTTCAGCTCTACAAGGTCCTCGGAAACTGGCGGGGTTCTTTATGGGATTTTATTTTTATTTATTTTTTTTTAATTTCTTGATACGATGCGAAATAAATAAATAAATGTGCCCGGACTCTGACTTAGTCATCAATAAAAACATTGTTCCTAATTTTTACAATGTTAAAATAAAGAGCATGTTAAGAAATGAAAAATGTACACATTGACTTGGCATTTTTAACATCACTCTCTAGACCATTCCACAATCCAATTCCTTGGATTGAGGTAGATTTTCCCTTCAGACTAGTTCTGAATTGTGGTTTGACAAATATCTCTATCCCCTTAAGATTATAACAACTTTGTCTTTTAACAAAATTTCTTTGGAAATTTAATGGTAATGTGTTATTTTGAGCCCTATACATAACTGATAAAATACTATAATCTACCAAATCATGGAACTTCAATAACTTCAGTTGATAAAATAATGTGCTTGATGGGTGACTGTAATGCTTTCTGGTGATGATTCTTACAGCTCGGAACGTCAAAAAAGTAAGTTTCTAAAATTACAACAGAGAGCGGTTTTCTCATCACAAACCATCAGTCAAGATCAGGATTTTGTTGCCAACACTAATTTTCAGGACCAGTGGGTTAGAAATTTGTCTAACAGGACTTTGACACAACCTGAGAAAGACGTGCTGGCAAAAGGACTAAATTTTGCCATCTCCCCTCAAGAAATACCTGTTGTAGAACTAATCACGGCCACTGAATCCGCGATTAGGAACAACAACTTGACGGAAGGAGAGGCAGAACAGCTCAGAATGGAAATATCAGCAACCATCTCCAGTGCCAAACCGCCTCCTTCAAACCTCACACCACAGGAAAGGAAAGCTGTAACATCACTCAGCCAGGACCAAAACATCTCCATTTTACCAGCTGATAAAGGAAGATGCACAGTAGTCCTCAACACTTCTGATTACTGGGAAAAAATAACTACACTACTGAACGACCGTAACACCTACGAGACCCTGAAGAGGGACCCAACCAGTGCCTACAAAAAGAAAGTCACAGATTACCTGCAAAAACTTGAAAAGGAGAAAACAATCAATCGATCTTTGTATTATAGATTGTACCCAGGGGAAGCCACTCCCTGTCTTTATGGACTCCCAAAAATACACAAAGAAGGAACACCACTCAGACCCATCGTCAGCAGCATGAACTCAGTGACATACAATATTGCTAAACATCTGGCTGATATTTTAGCTCCTCTTGTTGGAAACACACCTCATCACATAAAGAACTCCATTGATTTTGCTAACAAAGTTCAACACTTGAAACTAACCCCAGGAGAAACCCTTGTATCGTATGATGTGACTTCTCTTTTCACATGCATACCCATCTCTGAAGCAGTAGAAACCGTCAGAAAACAACTTCTACAAGACAAGGACTTAATCAACAGGACCAACTTCACCCCGGACCAGATCTGCACCCTGTTGGACCTCTGCCTCTCCACCACTTATTTCAAGTTCAATGACAGTTTTTACAGACAGAAGCACGGCTGTGCCATGGGATCTCCAGTGTCACCCATTGTTGCCAATCTCTACATGGAGGAAGTGGAACAGAGAGCCCTACACTCCTATGAGGGAACGATGCCAAGCCATTGGTTCCGTTATGTGGATGACACCTGGGTCAAAATCCAAGCCAAGGAAATAGAAGCGTTCACCAGACACATTAACTCGGTCGATAACAACATCAAGTTCACCAGAGAGGATGCAAACGACAACAACTTGCCTTTTTTGGACTGTTTGGTTCAGATGGAGAGAGAGGACAGCCTCAACATTGAAGTGTACAGGAAACCAACCCACACAGACCAGTATCTTCTGTTTGACTCCCACCATCCACTGGAACACAAACTCTCTGTCATCAGAACTTTACAACATTGGGCCGAATGCGTCCCCACAAGGACAGAAGGGAAGGAAAAGGAACTGAAACACGTTCAAGAAGCTCTTCTAACATGTGGATATCCTAACTGGGCTTTTGTCAAGTCAGCGAGGAAATCTACAAAACACACCAATAAACTGAAAAAGGAGAACAACAGACGGAAAAACATTGTCATCCCTTATGTTGCTGGAGTATCAGAGAAATTCAGAAGGATCTTCAACAAACACAACATCCCAGTACATTTCAAACCCAGCAGGACCCTCAGACAGAGGCTGGTCCACCCTAAGGACAAGACACCCATACACAAACAGAGTGGTGCAGTGTATGCGGTCCAGTGCAGCGAGGACTGTCCAGACCTCTACATTGGAGAAACTAAACAGCCTCTTCACAGACGCATGACTCAACACAGGAGAGCCACCTCCACAGGACAAGACTCAGCTGTTCACCTCCATCTCACAGATAAGGGACACTCTTTTGAGGACCAAAATGTGCACATTTTGGACCGAGAACACAGATGGTTTGAGAGGGGGGTGAAGGAAGCAATTTATGTAAAAAGAGAAAAACCCTCTCTTAACAGAGGAGGAGGCCTCAGATTCCCACTTTCAAAAACATATAATGCAACTTTAAAACAGATTCCCAGCCGGTTTTCACACCTGATGGGAACAGAGGGGGCCTCGTCTGTGAATTAGAGGAACAAAGACCTACTGTTTTAGGTTTTAGGTGTGAACTGCCAATATACATATATGTGTGTGTGTGTCTTATGTGTGTGTGTGTCTTATCTCACTCAGCCTTATAACCTGTATCTCTCACTCTCTGCTCTTTGAATTGAGAAAGCTCCTCGGATGAGGAGCGAAACGTCTTCTGTTACAAATAAAGTCCAGTTGTTTTTGTATTGAACGCTTTTTGAATTCTTACAGCTCTTTTCTGTAAAATAAAAATAGGTTTTGTAAATGTTTTACACGCTTTCCCCCAAACATCAATGCAATAGATTAAATGTGGAACAATGATTGTGTTATACAACATGTACAGAGCTTTATCATTTAATAATTCCCTGACTTTGTATAGTACTGCAATAGATTTAGATAATTTTGTTCTTACAGAATTTATGTGATTTTTCCATGTTAGCTGTTCTTCAATGATTACACCCAAAATTTTCATCTCATTAACTCTACAAATCTCAACACCCTCAGTTTTAAGTGGATCATCAATAGTTCTCTTTTTGTTACTAAATATCATGTAATTATCTTCCATCCATCCATTATCTTTACCCAGTTAACACTTGAAACAGTTACCAGTTTTAAAACTCTTTTAAAAACACATTTTTACTCCCTGGCTTTTAGCACACACTGAATTTGATCTGCACTGTTTTTATTACTTTTATTGATCTTAATGTTTTAACAACTGTTTTTATGTGTTTAAATGTTCTTGATTTTATATGTACAGCACTTTGTGGCAGCTGTGGTTGTTTTAAAGGGCTTTATAAATAAAGTATTATTATTATTATTATTACCCGCTTATTCCATTTTTTGGTCACAGGGTTCGCCGGTGCCCATGTCCAGCAATCACTGTGCGAAGGGCGGGGTACACCCTGGACTGGTCGCAAGTCCATCACAGGGCCACATAGAGACAAACGAGACAAACAACCATTCACGCTCTCACTCACACCTAGGGACAATTTAGAGTTACCAATCAGCCTAACATGCATGTTTTTGGTCTGTGGGAGGAAACCGGAGTACCCGGAGAAAACTCAAGCATGCACGGAGAGAACATGCAAACTCCACCCAGAAAGGCCCCTGGACCGGGGTTTGAACCAAGGACCTGCTCGCTGAGAGGCAATCATGTATTTAGTTTTATCTAAATTTAATGATAATTTATTAAGTTTAAACCAAGTTTGTATTTTATCAAATTCTGTCTTCATCAATTCCAACATCTGTTTTACATCTTTACCCAAACAAAAAAATGTGGTGTCATCTGCAAAAAGGACACATTTGAGGAGTCCTGTTACATTCACTAAGTCATTCATATATAAAATAAATAACTTTGGTCCAAGTACAGAGCCTTGAGGAACTCCACACGTGATATTGCAGAGGTTAGATCTTACACCATTTATTTGTACAAACTGTTTCCTATCTTTTAAATAGCTAGATACCCAGTGTAATGCTGGTCCTCTTATACCATATTTATTCAAATTTTCAAGGAGAATAGTGTGGTCAATAGTATCGAATGCTTTTAATTTTTAAATCAACAAAAATACTAACACAATACTGTTTTTGATCGACAGCAATAGTTATTTGTTCTATTAATTCCAATGAGAGCCATTGATGTAGAGTTTTTTTTGCTCTAAACCCATACTGACTGCTACTTAGAATGTTTTGTTTAGTAATAAATTTATCTAATCTGGTCACAAATAGTTTTTCTAGAATTTTCGAGAACTGTGGTAATAAGGATATTGGTCTATAATTATTGAACACACATTTATCACCATTTTTAAAGAGAGGAACTACCTTAGCTACTTTCATACTGTCTGGAAATATTCCTTTTGAAAATGATAAATTACAAATATATGTAAACGGCTCGATAACATAACTCATTATGTCCTTTACAAACATCATATCCATGTCCACCCAGTCTTTTGATCTCTTATCTGTAAGATTTTTTATTACATTCATTATTTCTTCTTTGTCAGTTCCATTAAGAAAAATACTGTTGTCACAACTTATAACTGAATGGTTCACATTATTGTCTACTTTTGGTTTTTTTAGCAGCAAGGCTTGATCCAATGTTCACAAAATGATGATTAAATCCATTTACAATTTCATTTTCATCATGGATTTCATCGTCATCCTTCAAAAAATATTGTGAAATACCTGTTTTTGCTTTATGACTCTTCAGAACACTATTTATTACTCACCATGTTGCTTTCATATCACCATTACTTTTATTTAATAAATCACTAATATTCCTTCTTGTGTTTCCTTATAATCCCTCCTAATTTATTTTTATACTTCTTATATTTTTCTTCGGCCTCTTGTGTTCTCAATTTCAAGAAACATGTATACAAATAA